TTTCCCCCCCCCTTTGGGGGGGGGGGGGGGGGAAAGGGGGGGGGAAAAAGGGGGGGGGGGGGGGGGAAGGACACAGCAGGAGGTCTGTCACACCTTGTACTATCCCAACACTGAGGCGGGAGCTGTGTGGCTTCAACATGACAGATCAAAGAGAGATGTTGCACAGAGGAAAGGGGCAGGTCAAGATGCTTTGTTCTTTCCAGGCACAAAAATGTTTATGGTGTTTGATAGACCTTTCAATGAGACCTTTTGTTTCTCCTCAGTTTCCTTTATTGGATCACATAATCTTGTCTTTTTCATGTTTCATTAACTGGCTTCTGTTCCTGTTTTACAGCCACAGGGATCTAAAGCCCGAGAACCTTTTGCTAGATGAAAAGAACAACATCAGGATAGCAGACTTTGGTATGGCCTCTCTTCAGGTTGGAGACAGCCTATTGGAAACCAGCTGCGGGTAAGTGCAATCAAAAGCATTTACCGCTCTAACGCATTAAGTCATATCCTACAGTGTCGAAATCTAGCAAGCTAGAAACTGCTGTAAATGTAAATATTCCTCACAGTTTTAGTAGAGGCGTAAAAAGAAGCAGGGAATGATTAGTGGAGTGAACAGGTCAGCCGCTTTCGTAAACCTCCACAGCGTACAGTGTAAATCTCCGGAGTAGAAACTTTTGCCATCTACTGTCTCGGAGCACGGCCAGGACCTTGGGCAAACATTACTGCTCTCCATCTCCTCCCCTCTCACAGAGGAGTTTATGATCTAACATTTACCATTTCACCAGCCTCATCAATCCTACAACCTCAATGAATTTGCCTGTAGGAGAAGTCACTTTCAGAGTTGGGTGGCTGTGTTATGAGTGCTCCTTTTCTAAACCTGAACTGTCTGGATGAAATAACTTTTTCACTGTTTGCTTTAAAGACACCAATCACCGGCTCCCTTTTTAATCTCTTACATGACAGGCACTACATTGTTTTTGCAAACTCAGCGTATACCTTGACAGAGGTTGAAAGTTTCAAAAAGATAAAACGGCAGTATCGCTGTAACCATTCAGACTTCTTGTTACTAACGTTAGGTTTCTCACACTCTTGCTGCCTTGACCATAAATAAAATAAATGAAACGAGCCAGAACAAAATAATTCTGTGTGTTTCAATGTGAATGTCGTCAGGATCATTTTTGCTTTGTCATATAACTGCTTCCAGATTTGGGTGACTTGAAGGCCCCGTGACATCTGCGCCCTGCACAGATTGTCTCTGTCCAGATTAAACTGAAATTTCACATCCATGCAATTTAGAAAGTACATATGTTCACAGGGAAGAGATGAGGATCTGTTAATCCCGCCCTCCTTCTCTGTCCTCCTCATCCTCCCATCATATGCATGGCCACTTCAGCATGATTATGCAGATGCATTCATCCAGCTGAAACTGTTGCATAATTTTTTTCCATCAGTAACACTAATGCCTAAACTCTTGTGACTCATCGGTAGAGACCAGCCCAACTGTATGTGTACATATTTTCATGGCTATAGAATATGTGAATAAGGAAAAAAAAAGTCACCTTTTAACAGTGATTACCATAAAATAAGGCATTTTTAGCACTCCTTTCTCAGGGGTATCTATTAACCAAGTCCATCTGTTCTTTAATGTACTTTACCTTGCATTTTTTTGGTTGAATTTCTAATGTCATCCATTTGCATTGCATTTGCCGAGTTTAATGTTTGAGGTATGCATACCTCAAACATTAGGGTTTGAGGTATGCATCTTCTTCTTCTTCTTCTTCTTCTTCTTCTTCTTCTTGCTGCCTTCAGATCCAGCGTCACTCTGTGAGCGTGTCTCAGAAATGTGTGGGCAGTGTGTCTACGTGTTTATCTGCTGGAGTCCAATACATGTACCATAAACTGTAATTGTGGTTATTGATTATTCATGCTCTTCTGGTTGCCCCATCCCTAAGTGCAGATATGACACTTTTTAATTAAACAGATTTATCTGGGTCCCCTCTCACCATGCGGCAGTCTGACACAAATGTATTCCATTTGCTTTGGGTAATGGAGCCGAGTGGAGATGAGACTTGCCTCAGGTATTGGTGGGGTGGGGGGATTGGGGGGTGGAAGAGTGGGAGGGACCTCAGAGAACATCCGACATATAAATACACGGATGCGTTAAAGAAGCAGAGGAACTAGCAAGTGCTTACAAACATGGAGCAAGGGAATCACATGTCTAAACAAACTCAGCTGTGGGTTTATCCATGTTTCATAGTTATCACTGTAACGTGTTGAAGGTGATGGAGCTATAAATATGGCTCCACAGATTTACATTGTGCGTTAAGCCAGCACACACATGTCTGATGTGGTAGAGTATATTGTATGCATTATATTAAAAACTAATTCAGCTGCAAATGCAAATTATAGCACTTTGTAGATGTTTAAAGGTTTAACCTGAGTTTCAGAAAAGAAAATAAGTTAAATCAAAAACACTTTATCTGCCGTCTCAAAAGCTTTGCTTTGTCTTGTGCCTCTTTAATGCATGCTAACCTGGGACCTGTATATTATTTTTCAGTGTGGCCAAAATGACAAAGCATCCAGCAGCAGCGGGCTCGTTTTAGTCACAAAAGAGTCCAGAGTAGAGCCACCAAAACTAAAATAACATTTTTCCAGTTCCATCCTGATCAGATCCCCATTAATAATCCTGATATCCATTTATCTACACGAAAAGTTTGAAGCATCTGAGCGGAAAGATCTAGTAACAATATTTATAAGTGTTTATAAAGTTCCCTTATTTTGCTGAACATGGCGATCACAGAAGTGTCAATTTTTTGATTTGTCGCAGTATCACTATATTTCTAAAATTATTTGCCCAACCCCCTAACTAAATGAAATCAGGTGTTCCACCTTCATGGAAGGGGTTTTCATCACCAAGCTACATGCAAGCCTTGTGTTTCTAAGTGAAATGCAAAGCATTTTATATAATAAAGCATTGAACAGCTAAAGCACTGGAGATATTTTTAAGAATTGAATGGCTCTGGCCACATTTTTGTTTTTACTTCCAAACTCTAATCGAGAATACAGTTGACAGGAATCGGTTGTATTCATCCTGTTTCCCTCCTGTAAAAAACACGTTGAACTGTCACCGAGGTGAATTCAGTCTTTTTGCTTACATATAATCAAGTGAATCAGTTGGCGTTTAGTTATTTTACATATAGACACATAGCTGTTATCAACAGGTCAGTGTTTATCGAGGAGAGTTGCGATAGTGTGAAATATTAGCCTTATAAACATGTTTGCACATCTGTTTTCAGCTGAATATTTCTCTAAATCTTATTTTTTTTTTTTTTTAATCCAAAGCACATAAGTTGATCAGTACTACCTCTCTGTTTACTCTGAGATATAAAAAAAAAAAGACGTGTTCCATTTCAGCTTGCTGCTTAAGAAAAGTTGCAGGACTCAGTCAATAGAGCTGATTCTGGGAAAGAACCAGCTCATTGATATTTCTGACCACTTAAATGGAAGGAAAGAAATTCCAGACTTTTTTTAAATGAATGCCAGATTTGAGTGGAAGGGAAGGGAAAACATTTTATGACTGGCATGTTCTACTTTCAGATGTTTATTTTTTTTACCAATAGAAGAGTGCAAGTGAGGAGATGGACTGGAGAAGTAATGATACCTTTTCAAGTCTCAGATACATCTACTTCTATTGAAGTTATCAATGACAAAAGAACCATTACTACCAAAGAGTGAATGAGAAGCATCTTTTTATTCCAACCACATTCACCGGCGTCCACTTTGCATTTTTGTCTAGTGGAATTGCCAGACGACGAGATAATGAGCCACAAATACATCCCCAATTTGGAAGACAAGTGGCAAATCTAGCAGCGCTTATTGTGACGAACTAAACACCACGGATTTTAATCTTGACCAAAATATTTGTATTGAGCAAGCCGTGGATTACTTTGAAATTTTGAACCTCGTTTTTAGTAGTTGTTTATTTGATATGTAAATTTATTGAAGGTCTTTTTTTTTTTCTTTTTGTTAAATCTCTTAAGACTATTATAAAACCTCAGAGGCTCCCTTTTCTTCGTAGGTTGCTTTTTGAATCAGGAACTGCAAAATTGTCAGCATGTTTTTGTTGCTGTAAGCCTCTTTTTGAGATTAAATTTCACACATTGTAACAGTGTTTTCCCATACACAGATTCTGCCTTAATAGATCATATAAGCAAACAATGTGTTTGCAAGAATGGATCAGGGAGAAGACAATCTGCACATGTGCTGTTGATATATCTTTGTGACATTTTTTTTTCTTCTTCTAATACTAATAAAGGATTAATCTAAGACATTTTTTGTTTGTTTTCTCCTCTGCGCTGTGACCAGCCTTTAAGATCTTTAAATAACAAGTATATATTTATGCAGATTCCAGTTGTGGTTTGCATGCTGTGATGCTCATGAGACATTGATACTACAAATGTCTTTCTTTTCCCCTTCCTACTTAAATGCATTGTGCACTGTGGCACTTCAAAGCAGGAAGGACATATTTGCATAGGCTCATATGTGAACTTACCCCATTGAAGTGCTGGCGGTGTGATTGGCCAGTATTGTGACAGCTCAAGGAGTCGGGTCATCAAAGCTAGTATTTAGGAGTTTACAAGAAAACAGCCCTGGATGGGCCTTCGTTAACGTCAGCTACCCTGGCACTACACAGACGGAGACGGAGCTGTGGAGGACACATCTCAAAGGGTTCAGAGGTTTAAGTAGACAAGTGAATAGTTTGTAACAGGCTGTTTAATGAAGCTAATTACAGGGTGATGCAGAGGTCTTGTTTTTTTTACTCCAAGTTAATTAATTTTGAAACACAAGAATGTCATAGTTCTGCAGAAATTTATAGAAGGAATAACAAGTTTACTCCTTGACTGCAGCTGCAGGATTACAGAGGAGTTTTAGTGGGCTCGCTCCATAAATCTTCATATGATATTGATGTGTCAATCTAGTCATTGGCTTTACTGTCAGGCCATCCAGAGGCTGTAAAGATTAGTGGGTCTGGTTACCGTCTGCTGTCGGAAGATGCCCTTGACTGAGAAAGCAGGAGGTCGACATCCGAACACCCTCAGGATGTCTAAACCGTGGAAGCACCTTGATCTATGTCCAGTGGATATGTTTACTACCTAATGTGTTTTAGAGAGCTGTTTGTTTATCAGACTGCATTAGTGTCTTACTTTAGAGTCTGTTGACTTTTCTCCTCTTGCTTGTTTAGTTTGTTTTTGAAAGCTGTTTTTCTGTTTCCCAGATCGCCACACTATGCATGCCCAGAAGTCATAAGGGTAAGAGATTTTTTTTCTTCACTCCTCACAATATTTTTTCTGCATTAATGTATTATTTTTTTAATTAAAAATGTTGGTAATGTCAACAACCCTGTCCGAACTTGATAAACAAATCCTCTTTCCTTCAGGGAGAGAAGTACGATGGGAGGAAAGCAGATGTCTGGAGCTGTGGGGTCATTCTTTTTGCTCTTTTAGTGGTGAGTCCCAACTCTTTCCTTACTGATTGAAGAGCAGGTTAAAGTCTGTAGCGCTACTGGCCAGCATGATTTCCTTCGAGTCTCTGAAATGTTGTACTTTTTTTCTGTAAAGTAGTCAAGGAATACAACTTGAATGAGTAGACTTTTAGATGTTACCCTGCTAGAAATTAAACTTTCTTCCCCGTCTCACATTGTTTAGGGCGTCTAGCAGGTTTTCTTCCTGAAGTGTCCTGTGTTTAACCATTTCATCCCCACCAGTTTCTCTGTGGGTTTGGTGTGTTCAGAATGATGTATGGTGTTTGTTTCCCACCACACAGTGTTTTGCATGTGGTCCAACAAGTTCAATTCTGGTCTCTCAGGACTTTTTATAGATTTCTTTGAATAATACCTTTGCTCAGTGCACAACTAATGGCCGCTACCAAGAGACTTTTGGTTTTGAGTCTGATTATTGCTCTACTTGCCTGAAATTACATGTCTCTGCCTTTCAGAAGTTGTGGAATTGTTTATATTTTTGGCATAATGTTGGCAATGGCATATTGTTTTATGACATCAGCCGTTCAATGTCACTTTATTCCCAACCTGTCTGGCGTGTCCCTTGGTCTATCACCGAGTAAAAAACGGTAATAGAAAAATGTTTTCCAGTTTTTTTTTCAGTTTTTTCTTTGTAAAAAACATGAATAGAAAATGTGTTTCTTTGTGCGCCTCAATTGTGCAATATGTTGTGTTGGTCAATCACAGAAAATCCAGGTAAAATACATTGAAGTTTATGGTTACAACTTCTTCCAAGCTCTTCTCCCAAAATGTCAAACACATTACATTTACTCAATTGCAATCCAAAGCGTCTTTTCAGGTCTTATCTTGCATCCAAACACATTGCGGTATCTAAAATAAGATCTGTTCTCCAGCTACATTATGTCTGTGGGTCCCCCAGCCATACACCCCTTTAAGCTTTGTTGCATTAACTGCTGTACTGGAGTTCCTGCACACTTCTGCCTAATAAATAATTCATGTAGCCAAGCTGAAAGAAGGGAGCCCAAAATAAATATCAACACTGACACGGCAGCTTTTTGCTACAGGCTTTGTGTATTTCTCTCTTCTTTTGCTTCTTCCACTCTGTATTACCGTCTCAGACAAACTTTTGGTATGTAAACCTGAGAATGTTTACTGTTTTCTGATCTTGACCTTTCTTTCACACCAAAAAAAATTTTTTTTTTTTTTTTTTTTTTTTTTCGTGTGCCCACTGTTTGTCTGTAGAAATACTATAATTGTTCTGTTTCTTCCTGCTCTCTGGCTTGGAGATAACCATTTGTCTGATTGTGGGAGACAGAGATACTCCCCAGCAGTTACTCTGCACTCAGATCATCTGTTACACAAGTCTACCCTTTCTCCCCCCCTCCCCCACTTACTCTTATTTGTCAGCCAATCTGTCTGTCTTTCCTGCCGGTTTCCTCTCCTCCATCTTGTCCTCTGATGGAGGCTGCCATTCATCACACAGCCACATCTGTGAGGTGTCAGTACTCTTTGATAAATGACTGATGAAAGAATGCCAAATGAATGAGGTACACGAGAAATCAGGGTAATTATTAGAAAAGACCCATTTTCAGCTCCCTGCTGGTTTTTTTGTTTGTTTTGCTGTGCACTTAACGGAAGGCTCTACTGTGAAAATTAAATAATTGGGGTTGGGGGAAACTATTCTTTGAGACTTATAAGATTTTTGTTTGTTTGCTTGCTTGCTTGATAGCACTGCAGATCAGTTATCTTTTTTCTCTTTCAAATTACTCTTTGTTGAAGGTTATTTATCTATTTCAGCATCTATGAGTGTCTCGAGAAGCGGTTTATAAATAAAATGTATTATTACAAACTGATTTTTTTCCCCCGCCCCTTTTTGCTGACTGCCTCAACTGATTCTCTACTTCCTTACTTCCTCAGGGCGCCCTGCCGTTCGATGATGACAACCTAAGGAATCTTCTGGAGAAAGTGAAGTTGGGAGTGTTTCACATGCCACATTTTATTCCTCCAGACTGTCAGAACCTTCTGCGTGGCATGATTGAAGTAGACGCATCCAAAAGACTAACGGTCAGTTCATGTCATAGGCTCAAAGGGAGAGCAATGGTTATTTTTATGTTTTTGTATACATTTTTTTTTATATTATCTCATTTCAATTTGGCATATTTGTGTTAACCCATGGAAGTTACCAGTTTGTGGAAGGACTTTTCCTATTACATTACATTAGTTGCTAGATTATAACTACAACTTTCAATGTGTTTTAGGATTTTGTGATATACCGACACAAATTAGTTCATAATTTAGAAGTTAACAGAAAAGGTTGCATTGTTTACTAAATGTTCTACATGTTCAATTCAGAAAATTGTGGTATTTAACAAACTGAGTCTGTGTGGAGCCACCTTTTACTGCAGCGACCTGTAACACATTGTTTGGATTTAGGTCTAAATGTGTGAATATAAACTGATCTAAAAACACTGTGGTCTTCCTGGTGAACGGCTTCCCTAGTTTTTTTTTTTTTTTTTTGGTGATTAACAATCCTTCCCCTTTTCCTGTCCATGCTTGAGAAAAGCATCTCTAAAGATGACGATGTTTGAAAGTGAGAAATGTGTGTTTGGTGTTGGTTTTTTGCCATCTCTAGCATTTTGCATCCCAGAAAGTAAAGTATGAAGGGCGGCTTTTTATACACATTCTGCATGCACACACCCTCTCGCGGCGCTCCGGTATCTTTATGAATCAGTGCAACAGTTTTCATCCTCGTGCCTGTGAGGAAATGCGGTGACGCCGCAGCTGGTAAATGTTGCTGCTCTATTTCCTTTTGCCGTAGTTTTATCTTTCACATTGTCAGAATAACTTCAAGCACGATGACAGCATTTTAGAGCAAATAAAAAAATGAAATTCTTTATTTTAACAAAGGTATATTCTATTTGCAAGTATTTTTAGCTACATGAGCTAAAAATAAAAAAATAAAAAAACACACCTCTTTATTATGCTGTATGCGCACTGTTTTGCTTATTCTCATCTCCCCTCTCTCAGATGAGGGCAGGTCACCCTGAGATCCCTGGATGTGCCCACCAGAAAACAGCAGTGTCCTCAATAAAGGGTTACACTAAGACCAAACTGCTGGGAGAGAATATGGTATCTGTCTGCTCCCCGCTCCTAACTCCAAACGGAGCTCAGAGGATGTGTTGTAACCTCACAGAATGTCAAATAGCTTTTCAGAGTGAGAATCCTTAAAGATAAGTGGTGAGCACCAAGTCACACATGAGGCAAGAACACCCAAGGGCAGACAGCAAAACAAGAGGGGGTCTGAGGTTATTTGGCGAGGGCTTGTTTATTCTTGATTTTCTTCATGACAGTTTGATGGATCCATTTACAGGGTAATCATACAACTGTCTGTTTGCTTTTGTTAATTAGATTTTGCTTGCTGATGCATGAAAGATCACATCTCGCAAAGCAAAGGTTCCACAACAATAAGAACTTTCTCAACTTTCTCTCTGCGGTTAGTCATCCAGAGACCAGTGGGTATTACGGTTGTCTTGTGCTCTGTAGTCAAAGTACACGGTGCCTCATTAAAACAGTTAATCATCCCAGACAGAAAATGGCCCCATGTGGAAGATACACTTTAAAGGTTGCAAGAACAGGAGTAAATGAAGTCATAGTTTTGTGTGTCAGGTCAGATAACTTGGACTCAAATCACATGATTTGGTGTTCAGACATTAATAGGACCATTTAAGACTTATAGTTGCTGAATTGTTGCAGACTCTCTTCCTGAAATGGAGTAATACTGTCCTTCATGTTCTGTTATTAAAGCTATCTGACAAAAAAAAAAAAGAAGTTTGAGTAATGATCTAATATTGATCTTTGCAACATGAAGAGGGGGAAATTAATACAGATTTGAAGCCTTTTAGCGGGGGCTGAAATGTAGCTTGTGTACACTTCAGTTTCAAGGAAAAGCCTAATTTATCACACACCCACCCAGTCTGCATCCCGTTTTCTCTGTTTGGGCAACAGCTAGAGAACTTTTGTCTCAGTGTCAGTAAGTAATATGTCCATATTGCTTTCTGCCGACATTAAAATATCAGTATAAATATTTGTTATCCTATTTTGTTGTTGAATGGATAAGTTATTCTTAAAGCATGAGAGACACAATAGAAATTTGCCGGAAATCAGAGCATTCAGCTGAACTCATTGAACGCTGATGTTTAAACCACTTTGGTCTCGTCTATCCATTTTTCCCCGAAGGCAGACAAGTATTTCTTCACAGAGAGAAAACTGCTAAGGTTTGACAACACCTCACCTAGAACATAGCTTTATCATTTTGTTCTAAAGATGTATTTGTCAGTTTTGAATAGTTTTATGTTTCAAGTCAAATAAAACTACTGTAAACCCTTTTGGGACAAATATCATCCTAAAAGATTGAAAGCACTGAAACACTGAACAGGTGCTCTGAAAATGAGACACAACAAGTCTTTTTTTTTTTTTAGATGGGGTAACTACTTTTACTCCAGTTCTTTTTTTAGAAAACTGGAGTAAAAAATTTCCTATCCAAGCCTTCTTATACTTTTTCACAGCACTGTACACAACCAGATAGGCTTTCCCTCAATATGTAATGGTCATGTGCAGTTAATGGTACTTCTTACTTCAAACCACATTACTGTGCGTCATATCTCCATCCTGCCTCCAGGCCCCCAATAAAATGCAGCGAGAGTAGGTCACCCACTGGCCTGTATCTGATGGCCAGGATATCTCTGTCGATACCATGACCTCTGCGGAGGCATACACCAGTCACTGAAACTCGCTAACCAGCCTGAAAGCCTGTCTGATTGCTCCAATATCTCACACAGTCGTTTATCAGTTCTGCCACACGGAGGTAGGTCCTGTGGGACGCGGGGACGATCAAGACATTGATGGAGACATATACACATGAACTCTGAATGAGTGACAATAATTAGACTTGCTCTGTGCATCTCCTGTGGTTCTACAACAGCAGCATGAGCAAATTAAAAAGTCCCGGCAGTGACATTGATCTTGTTTCTGTCTGTGGCCAGTTGAAGAAAGGAGGAGTCATTGAGGCAGACGTCTTCCTTTGTAAACCCTTTGGCTCGCTGTTTCCGCCTCTCTTTGCTTTTGGCTCTCTAGCAATCTACATCAGCAGCGGCGCGATTAAGTGGGGAAGCAAATCGTGTAAAACTTAAGAGAAATGGAAAAACAATGACGATGGAAGATTCTTCTTCAGACCAGAACATTGGCAGGATCGGCAGTGTGTGTGTGTTTTAAGCTCAGTTGTGTGATCTCTCTTTCTCATTCATGGCTCAACGTCTCTTCATCTCTTTTTATATCAGTATAATTTTTTTTCCCTTGTGCCTACTTTTTAAAAGTACGTTATCTATGAACTTGTGTTTTCCTAGAATATTTGGGTTAAAGTGACATAACCAACACTGTCTAACATCTCCTTTTTCACAATTCTGACCCCACATCTGATTACTTTTTTTATCATGAGACAATGTCACAAGAATTCAAGTGTACACTAATGTTTTTTTTTCTTTTCTTTTGTTTTTTTTTTTACAGTTAGAAAAAATCCAGAAGCACTCGTGGTACATGTAAGTTCTCATCCTTTAACCAGGTTTTTACTCCCCCAATTTCATCCTTCGTTAGACTATTCTGCACCTGAAGGGAGCTTCCGCATGAAAAATGACCGAGCTTCAGCTATGTACACAAGAGTACATTTATGCAGGGCATGACTTCACTCTCGGGGACATGGGGGTAAATTGGTAGCGCATGAAAGGAAATTTGAAGCATATGGTCAAGTGAACAAGGAGAAAGCCTGAGGGAACATGCTGGGATGTGGAAACTAAACCAGTCTAACCTAAGTTCGCCCTATGGTTTGATACTAAAAGTACAATATATCCACTTTATTAATATAAATCATAAAATAACATTTAGAGAACTCTTGTTCACAAATGGAAGCATATTTCACTTCTGAGAATTTGATTTACACTAATTAAAAAAAATAAAAGAAAGAAACTTGCATAATGAGAATTTCTGCGGCTACCTAATTGAACTGAATGATTTAGTTTTAGGACAAACTTTTGTTAGTTGAAATGAAGAATCACTGAAATGAAGTAAAAGTCCTCTGAACTCCTTATCTATGATTGCTGGATTATGCAAACAACTAGAATGTAAAAAAAAAAAAAAAAGAAACAATAAGAATGAAGAGTTCAGTATGTAGAGTGTCTGCGGGTCAGCTCAAGCTCCAACACGGGGGTAGCTTGGTTAAAAAAAAAAAAAAAAGTCATTGTAATATTCCAAAAACAGATCACCAGAAACCTGCGTCTGCTTCTAAAGATTTCTGACTCAACACAGGCAGCCACAGTCTTCAACAGAACCCTGTTTTTTTATTTTTTTATTTTTTTTTATCTGCTTATAATGATTTTAAGCTGCGACAAAGATTACAGACAGATCAGTGACGCTTCATAAACTTAGCTCATTGTACTGGATGTCATAAAACATTTAAAGAGTTGTTTTCCTCTCCCAGTCTGCAGTGAAAGTCAAATGACATACAGGAAGCCTCAGCTGACAGTACAGTTTCTTTTTTGTTTTATGGTAATAATGTTTGATCCTGGTGAAAATGACTAGAAAACAAAGATTCACTAGTTTATGAAACTATTGTGTAGTCTATAATGCAGTCTTGTAACCTGTACATTAAACAACAGGCAGTAAAAATGATGTGCTGCATGACAGAAGACCACATGACTCTAATGAAAGAGTGAATATCTCTCCATTTTGGCCCTTAAGACACCAATGCCAAGTTTTATTAAAATATGTACGTCTACTAACCAAGTTGTAACAGCTTTTGCTTCTTAGTCTTAAACGTTAATGACATTCAGAATGTATATTTGTTAATTAGCGTTAAGGATAAATAGGATAAAACTGTTTTCTTACCTACAGCGACAGGGTAGACTAAATGAGAATATTTATTTCAGCCTCTGAGACTTGAGATTTGGCTTGGACTTGTCCCCTCGATGTCTTAAGACTTTACTTTGACTTGAGAAACATTACTTGTAAACATGTTTCGGTGAAAAAAAGAGTGACTGTCTCATTATGCAAGTATATTTTTATATAAACATGGCAAAACGGCAGAAAGGGAAGTTAGTTAAGGTGTTAATTTAGATCTACTTCACAAGTTCAGCGCATAGAGATAACAGAGGACGTGTTATTTTAATAGCTGCCGATGGGGTTTCTGCTTCACTGAGCTCACCAGACGAAAAATAATAGATTCAGGAAAGAAGTAATGAGGAGCATATTGAGTCAAATCTGTCTAAATGTCTGTGTGTATTGGCATGTTTGTAGAAAAGAACACAGCATTTCTCATTGCGTTTTGTTGGAATTGAGAACTAAAACGGAAATCTTCTGGAAAATGGTGTCGGCATAATTTCGCCTTTCTTGTTGAGGCCTGCCTGCGTTCTCCCTGGAGACGGGCAGAAAAAAAAGATGGGGGAAAGTGACATATCTGGGTGTTTTAGGGGAATTGCATAATAACGTGGAAGCTAAGTTTGTAAAGTGAGCATACCTGAGAAAGGCAGCCTGCATATCTCGACAGCATACTTGTCAAATGAGCAGCTAACCCATGTACTTATTATCATGTACTGCTAATTTTGGAGAAACATCTTAATTGGCAAAATGATCAGCTATGCAAGAAACGGATATTAAAATCTTGACATATTGCATTTTTATTTGTACGATCGTAAAGGAATATCATAAATGCTTCTATAATTGAAAATGGACTCGCGCACGCACACACAAGAAGCTGACCATGATTTGTTGTTGTTTTGTTTGTTTGTTTGTTTTGTTTTTTGCATCATTAGTGGTGGCAAAAATGAACCCGAGCCAGAGCAGCCTGTGCCCAGAAAGGTGACAATCCGCAGCCTGCCTTCTGCAGACGACATCGACCCAGACGTACTGGACAGCATGCACTCCCTGGGCTGCTTCAGAGACAAAAACAAGCTCCTGAAAGACCTGCTCTCAGATGAGTGAGTGGATGGAGGTTCAAAAGAGAGAGGGATCTGTAGTTGATGAGTGTGGTCTTGGGTCCTGCTTGCACACTCAGCTTCGGTTTTTCCCTGGCTCTTATAAAATCTTGCGAAGCTGTCGGTTTGTATGTCAGAAACCATGGATCACTTAACTGTTATCACACGTTGCTTACATTACTTGCTGCTGGATACTTCTTTTCCAAACTTGTCTTGGTTTTCACTGCAGACTCGTTTTTGAGATGTCCCGCTGCTTCCAGCCTGTTTTTTTTTTTTTTTTTTTTTTTTTCCTCTGAAAATGCATTTACATTCATGTCTGCTGTAAATATGAGCCCACTACTCTTTCAGTTCTTTATTTGGCTCATCCCTCCTCTTTTAATGCTAAGCTGGAACTACTCTCTCACTGTGCTTTTGCTCCAACTCCTCCATTTGCTTCCTTTCTCCTGGGAAAATTTTGTAATTGTGCTGCATGGGAGGAAAATCTGTGGTCTCCATTTCCCTTCCCCTGCTTCATTTTAGCTGAAGTTGCAGGTCCTTGTCTCTTTGCCTCCCACTGCTTTCCAATCTGTCTTTATTATAGAGGCCTATTCCCTGGGTACTTTGCATAGAGAGTGCAGCACAGAGGCTAAAGACATTAGGTTTCCTGATTTGCAAAGAAAGTAAAGGTCGAACTTGTGATCTTTTCCTACTTTCATTGGACTCGATGGCTACCAGCACACACTGTATGTTGTAATATGGCTGAGCATGCTAAAGAACATATGTGTATACTATGATATGAATGCTTAATGATCTGTAAAACTAAACTTTTATTTTAAAGATGAAAACAATTTATCAGCTATTTTACTGTGCACACAAAAAAGGATTAAAGAATATTAATCATAGTGAGGGGATTTGCACTTTAATCTCACATTTATTTATTTAAATTGCTAACATTTCAGTCAGATAATAGGAACGATTGAAGACACTTTCAAGGCAATTTTGCTTTACATCTGTTAAAAAAGTTTAGTATTTGGCTTTCTTTTTACTTCAATTGTTGCCCCTTTGCAGTGAAAACCAAGAGAAGATGATTTACTTCTTGTTACTTGATCGTAAGGAGAGGTACCCCAGTCAAGAGGATCAGAACCTTCCTCCTCGCAACGAGATTGGTGAGTCCAAGATTTGTTTTGTGATGTAAAGTTTTAAAACAATAGGATAATTCAACTGCTTTGATCCAAAGGTGCCAGCGTTGAGACAGTTTTTTTTTATGCCAACTAATGCATAAATGAATTTAAACAAAAATGTTCAAATTCAAGATAGAAAAAACATAAGTAATGCATTTAAAAAGCTTTTCTGCAAAAGAAAGGTAATTTGGTTATTAGTTGAACTTTAAAGAAAACAGTACAAAGTTTTGGATTTATTTTTCTAATGAACTGTTGTGTGGCTAATGATCTGTCATACAACATTTCACAGTAGGTGAGCCCTAACCCGTGGCAAAGTGGCAAAACCTCAACTACTTTCAAGTGCTTTGAATGACTTAAGGTGGGCCTGCCTGCTCTGGAAAAACTGACCAAAGTCTGACCAGTTAAATTACAGAGAAAATGTTCAGACAATGCTGTGTCCATCAGGAAAAAACTGTTTTACATGCAGGTTTCTTTGGAAGCACAATTATTTTTGGCTTACGATGACTGTACCTGGAACCTATAAATAATGTTATTTTTATGTGTTTATGCAATACCAATGTTGAAACAGCTGTTTATATTCAAACAAAACTAACTAATTTACATAATTTTTTTTTTTTTTTTTTTTTTTTGAAAAATCTCACTCATGGATGCTCTTTGTGGCTCAACCAACCTGCCGTGTTTTCCTCCATCAGAAGAAATTGGTTCAGCTCCGGCTCACGCAGCGTTAGATTGGCTCTTCGATAAACGGATGAAAAGAGCTTTTTGTTTATTGAAAATGAATAACTCTCTCAATGAAAAACACCGGCTTTAAATAGAACGGATCAACAGGGTTTTCGAAAAGCTGTCGTCTCATTTAGGTCAAACATTATCTGATGAAATAAAATTGGTGCATCACATCAAGGGGTTGATTTTTAGGCAGAGAAGTCTGAGCAGGGATGGGGATGCTCTCTCTGTCCTTAAATTCCTTCTTAGGTTAGTTTCTGACAACAGTGTGTTCGTATCTGCTGCGATACGCTGACATTTTGATGAATGGACTCCTCCTTCGGTGAATATGATACAGTTGATACAGTGGCCATTAGTTCAAGGGCTGGAAGGAAACCATTACTTATTCTCTATTAGTTAGAATGTCAATGTGTGAACAGCGCTAAACATCAGTCAAACGCTTCCATTTACACAGGCCATATGCAAAACTGCTCATTACCTGCACTGATATGTCAGGTGTTTTGTGCTTCCTTAGCATTTCTCTTTATTCTGCTTGACACAGATCCTCCAAAGAAGCGCGTTGACTCTCCAATGTTGAACCGTCATGGCAAGAGGAGGCCAGAGAGGAAGTCCATGGAGGTTCTGAGTGTCACTGACGGCGGTTCACCAGTACCAGCCAGAAGAGCCATCGACATGACACAGCATGGACAAAGGTATGCATGCAGTAATCGGCATGTTTAGAAATGAAGGCGCCTCGCAACAAAGTTAATATATTTCAGTAATTCAAAGAGTGAAACTCATTCATCACAAATTATTTCTGATCTTTTTGATGATTGTGGCTTACAGCTAATGAAAATCCCATCTTTTGTTTCTCAGAAAATTAAAATATCACATAAAGAATTTTTTTTATTTTATTTTAAAAATATGGTCATATATTATGAACAAAATCATGGTGAGGACTGGTTGTTTGAAATTCAAAAAAGTTATGGCAAAACCCCAACTACTTTCAAGGTGCATGGAGACAGGAAAAAATCTAATTAGATGAGGAGTCCAACAACACTTTCAGCACAGAGAGACAAGGTCTTTAAAGGACAGCTGTTAATAAAACTACTACATTCACAAAAAGGGCAAACCACAAACGGTAATTGTTCAGAGTGCGGTACCCAGTTATATTAATGGGAAGTTAAGTGAAAGGAAACAGTGTGATAGAGAAAGCTGCACAATCGACAGAAAAAAAACTAAACAAGCCTCATTAGAAACATTTGGAAAAGATGGAGTCTGGGCTTGTATTCAGGATGTGTTACAACTAACACATCCCTTGTCAGACCAAAGCCAAAGACAACATCAGAAATATTGTCTTTGTCTCAGAACTAAGAAGAAAATGGACTGGGCTACTTCTCAGTGGTAGTCCACTCTTCCAGATGAAAGTAAATTTTGCTTTTTATTTGGCCGTCATGCTACACTGCTTTTATGCAGCAAGTTATGCCAAAAAAGCACCGACAAAATATTAAGTTGATATCTTTTTCGAATGTCGGCTTCTTTTCTGTAAGCTGACATCTCTTTTAAGAACAACAAACAAAATTTTATGTTGCTTTTAGTTAACATTTAAGGTGAATTTTGGGTTTTCATTCAGCTCGTAAGTCCTAATTGACATTTATAAAAAATAAAAGTTTGAAATTGTAATTTATAATGGACCTCCACATCATATGAATGTCACTTTTTGAATGGCGTTCTCGGAATAAATTACCTTTTTTGATTTATTTGGTAAGTTGCACCAAATACACACGCCTCGCTTTCTGAGTGTTTTGTTTGTCTGGGGATTCCGGCTGCCCGGTTTATGTTTCAGCTGCTCTGACAGTGAGTTTGCAGCCGTGTCAACGAACTGCACTGCAGACCTAAACATAAACAGAGACTGACTCTCTGCTCACTTTTTCTTCTGTCTCATCCTAGTAATTCAGTGTACAGTAAAAGCTTGGATATCCCTGACGCCAGAACAAAATGCAGCAAAGAAGAAAGGTACTCGCTTGCCTTCACTTCCACATGCTCCCCCGCCCCCCTCCACTCGCTCCATGCCCCCCACCACGCAAGGACAGGAAAAAAGATGCAGAGATCCTGTGTGTTGAAGGGACAGGCTTTAAAGTTCTGTTTCGAAAACAATGAGGACGTACATTTTTTTTTTTTTTTTAAAGTTCAGCTCCTAATTAATTTAGCTTTAAAAACTGAAGTTCGGTGCACATTTAGAATTCAGAGGCTCGGTATCAACAGCCCCACTTGTTCAGGCATTAACTCAATTATCTCTTCTCCTCATAATCAGTTCTACCGTAATGTGTCCTACTTTTTCTCGATGCAGAACATTTCTCCATTTTGCTGTTTTGGAAATGCTGAAGTCATGCCAGGAGCGCACTCCCACGAGGCTGAGCGCTCTGATTTAAAAATCCGTTTCCACGTCTTATTTCAACAGCGAATGTATCATCATGCCACACATTTGTGCTCAGGGGCAGTGACATTTTTAACAGCAGGGAAGATTGCATCAGAGTGAGTGATAACAAGAAACTGGTGAATGTTAGTTGCACCAGTAGAGCGCTGGGAAAGGCTGATGTGGTGACATCATTGCAAAACAAGCGCATTTAATTCATAAGTCTGTTGTTTGTTCACCAAATGTGAGATGTGTTGGATTCGCTTTGGAGGTTTTAAATCCATTTTAATAACTTTCATTTTTATGGGGGGGGGGGGGGAACGAGCCTTTCCTTTGGTGGCTTTGAATTTAAGTTTAAGATTCTTCTTTTTCTGTTATATCAACTCCTCCTTCCCATCCCTTTCCTTCAGGCGTTTCCGGAATTATCTGGTTTTCATTTGAATTAGTTAAGGAACTGCTTTATTCAGCTTTTAGCCCTGACTCAACTGTTTCAGTGCGCACCTAGATTTCAGTACTGCCCTGATTTATTTAAGCTTTAATTACGCCAGTCCCACTACCTTGCAAAAGCATTCCTTTTCCTTAAAATTGTTCACATTGAGTCACAACACAGTGACAGTTATGTTTCATTTCAATTATGTGGGGCAGAAAAACACAATCCAGAAGTGGAAGAACATCTTTAAAATAAACCGTAATTTAGTGCCCTAGATTTTGACCTAAGCAAAATGTAGTGAACAAATAATATAATGAAAACAATGGAACACCGCTGACAGGTCAGGTTTAAAGTTATAGAGGAGTCTAAAGCAGAATTATCTGAAATGTACATTCAAAGTGCAGATTGTGTCAAAACCTGAGAAATGGATATTTTCGGAAGCTTTAAATCTAATCTGACCATATTTTACCTATTTTACAAAGAATAAGCAACATTTTCAGTTCCCAGAAAACCTGGAGATATGTGTATGAATACTTTAACTGCGGCACAGTGGAGTTCTGCAAAGTATTGACTTGAGAGAGTTAGATACAGATGCCCTCCGCACTTTTCAGAAGAAGTAAAAATAACAATAGAAACAAGAAACTTCACATAAATATGCTAATTTTTGTTGGTCTTCCATGCAAACTCAATAGTACATAGTTTACAGTTATAGCGTGAAAAATTTTTGAAAATTTCATGGGATAAGAATTGTGCTTTGAGCCAATGTAATAAACAGAAACTACAATAAGTTCATTTCACATATATTTTTGGATAGAATTTAAATTTAGATTGCTAAATCTAAATTTAACAGATGTACAGATGACCCTGAGCTTATTTATACACTTTTCAGATTTAGATTTAGGCACGTTCTTTCAACCAAGAAATTTGTTTGACAGGGAAAAACACATTTCCTCACCAAGGACAAAACACAAAAAACAGAAATAAAGCATTTCTGTTTGTTTTTTGTTTTGTTTTGTTTTTACAACAATGGCACATTGAAAATGGCACATTCTCAAAAATCAAGAAAAAAAAAAAAACACACTACTAGCATTACAGCAAACAAATCCTTCCAACTCCACCAGCTATTTGCATGTTTCCACTGGTTTTGCAAACATTTTTATTTAATTATGAGATCCAAGTCTTTAAGGTTAAAGCTCAATTTTGCCATCATATTAACTTCTATGTTTCTAACGGTCTTATGTAACTCAGGTGGAGAAAACACACATTAATATCAATTCTAGTCAGAAGAAACCTGTTGATAAAGTTTTAAAAAAAAAAAGCTAAATCAACTGAAACATGTGAGAAATGTTGTGCTCTATATTTATGTAAATATTGAGCAAAAATCCTGTCTTCACCCCACGGGGCAGCATATGAAATAGATTTGTATCAGAATCCTGTATTTTACAAAAACAGCTTTTCTGCATCTTTCTTCTATGCTACTTTAGTTGGGTGTAAGTTGTACTCTTCCATCTAGTTTTCCTCCAGGAACTCCTCCTCTCCCCTCTCTTAAAACACCTTTTTCTCTCTTTCCAGTTGTCCCTCGTGTACTGCTGACCTTCATTCCCAAACGCTCCTGCTGTTAGTGCGGAATTGCTATGCTAATGTGGAAATGCTGCTAGTTTTGCTCTGCCTGGCCTCCTATCAGTTGATATAAATTGGAGGAGGAGGGAGGTTGCGATATCGTAGCCCCTCTGCCTCCAAATCAAATCAAATCTCTTTTTTCTGTCTAAAAAAACAAACTTTTCCATCTTTTATCTTTTGCTCGTCTTTGCTTTGTTTGATCTTGCTGATGTTTGTGTGTGTGTGTGTGTGTGTGTGTGTGTGTGTGTGTGTGTGTGTGTGTGTGTGTGTGTGTGTGTGTGTGTGTGTGTGTGTGTGTGTGTGTGAGGACGATGTGCTGGGGCGGG